TGGGGGAGGATGGGGGACTGCACCAGGCTCCTGTTTAGAGCCTTGGAAGAAGAGCCGGTGGGAGATGCCTGCTGAGTGGGGGAGTGAACCCCTGCTGAGTGGGGCCAGAGACCCCTGCTGAGTGGGGTTTCCTCCTGAACACACTCAGGGCTGTTGCGCCCCAGCCCCCGTGGCTGCTGCCCTCCTTCAGTCCTGCACCTGTGGCTGCTGCTGGGAGGACCGGAACTTGGCAACTGTGGGATCCGCTCTAGGCCCTGCAGCCAGAATGAGAAGTCAGACAGGGGCACCGCAGGCCTGGCCATGTGCCCAGCTCACCAGCTGGGGGACACCTGGCTGCTCTGATAGGAGACTAGGTGGAGCAGCCTCTCCCCCTTCCGAAGACCCTGTCCTCCCTGCTCCTGACAGGCATGGCGAGGAGGCCTGGTGCCCCCAGGGCACGGGGTAGCTGCAGACAGGACAAGGGGTTGGGGTCTGAACAGGCAGGGAGCCCAAGACATCCTGCCCCCGGAGCCGGAGCCCTTTGTCCCCTCCTGGGCCCAGCCAGGGTGTGCCGGAGCCACCCCATCCCTTCTCCCAGCAGAGCCTGGACTGCATGCACAGCCTGACTGCAGGGTCGGGGCCCAGGCTCCGGGACAGGCAGGAGTGACCCAGGGCTGGTCCCTGCCCGGGCTGCCGGCCTGCACTCCCCCTACATGGCGCCCCTGGGGACCCAGAGAACAGGCAGCTCCTGGAAGGCCTGGTGACCCCCATGGGGCTGGGACAGCAGAGGCTACTGTGGAGACGTGGGTGGAGCCACAGGCTTCACCTGGACCACATCTTCAACCCTTGTTTTTATTATTATTTTTTTATTCTGAGACAGGGTCTCGCTAAATCACTAACTTGCCCAGGCTGGACCTGAACTCATGCGCCTCCTGCCTCAGCACTCAGTTAGACAGGAACCCGGTGAAGTGAGAGATGGAAACACGGCATCAGGCCCGGCCAGCAGTGGAGGCGGGAGTGTGGCCCACAGGAGCTGGCCAGGGCCCCGGAGGCTGAGGCAGGACAGCTGCCCACACTGCCCCACCCCCGGGATGTCGCCTTGGGGGTGACACAGAGGGCTGGAGATGGGGCTCAGGTGAAGGCTCTGGCTCCACCCACTTCTCCCTCGCAGGAGCTGTGTGAGCAGGGAATTCCTGCTGCGTGGTGCCCGCTTCCTCCAAGGCTGTGAGGCTCTCCAAGGACAGGTGGGAAACAGCAACCATGCGCACCCAGCGTGGCCTGTTCCCAACCCAGGAGAGACGAGGGCCACAGTTCCAACCCAGCCTGTCCAAGGATTGTCCCCAAAAGCTCTGGAGACTGGGCAGAAGGATGCTGTCTGGGGTCGCTGCCTGCTGGCTGTCATGTTGTATGTCCCCTGAGAGCCATGGGACAGTCCCAGGGGACACAAGTCAGACATGGGTCAGGGGCTGAAAAGTGAAGAGAAGCTGGGTGTGGGGGCACACTCCTGTCATCCTGGTGCTCTGGGAGGCTGAGGCAGGAGGATCATGAGTTCAAGTCCAGCATGGACAACTTAGTAGTTCAGGGAGAACCTGCCTCAAAATTTAAAAAAATGAAAAATGGCTAGAAGGACTGGCCAAATAGCTCAGCGGATTAAAGCGCCTGCAAGCAGGCACAGGGTCCTGGGGTTCGATCCCCGGGCCTGCTGTGTCGGCCCCGCCTCCGGCACACACTGAGATGGCAATTGAGGTGGGGCGTGGTGGTGCCTGCCTGTAATCCCAGCTCTTGGGAGGCTGTAAATGGGCGGGCCACTACGAGTCCAATCTAGTAGTGAGACCCTGAACACCCTGTAGACCCTGCCCTAAAAAGAAAATGAGAAAATGGCTGGAGTGCAGCTCCGCAGGAAAGCCCTGGGTCAGTCCCCCGTTTCACACACATGCATGCACATGTTTGCCACCTTGGGTCCAAGAACCGGGAAGCATTGCTGGGGAGATGGCTCAGTAGAATGAGCACTTGAAGTGCCGGGGAGATGGCTCAGTGGAATAAGCGCTTCCCTGGCAAGCGCAAGGGCCAGAGTTCAATCCCCGGTTCTGCCAAAAAAAAAAAAAAAAGACTTCACTGGAGGATTGAATATACTGGGTGTTTCCTAGATGCCTAAGACACTGCCAGACAATTTATTGGCAAGGGCAAGGTCCTGAGTTTGATCCTTGGTTCTGCAAAAAAAAAAAAAAAAAAGAACTAGGAAGTCTGAGTCTTTGCCACATGGGAACTGTAGCCCAGACTCGAGTCCAGGTTCCAGGCTCCCAGTCCCACTTCTCTATGCCCTGAAGACCTCCCCTGAAGCTGGCACTGCTCCTGGTGCTTGTAAGCTGAGATTCCTGGTGGCCAAGGTGAAAAGGGAAAAGTGATGACTTGGCTCTCCCTGGCCTGAAACAGGCATCTAGGCTTACAGGAAGCTCTGTTCCTTTCCAGTGGGACTTTGTCTCACAGGTTCCCTGGGACATCACAGCCACCAAAGGGTAGGAGGTCACTGGAAATCCGAGGCTCCAGCCAGAATTGCCCAGGTCCAGCCCCAGCAGTGACTCCGTCCCAGTGGCACTGGAGGAGGAGGTGAAGCTGGCAGACCGAGAGCAGAGCAGCACCTCGGGGTGCACCCAGCTCAGCTGTCTGACCCTGACAGGCGCCTCTGTCTCAGCTGCACGGGAACTCTCTGGAACATGGTGGCCCGTGTGACAGGAGACTAGAGTGCTTCTCAGTGATCACTGTAGCCCTCTGGCACTCGGGAAGCTGAGGCAGGGAGATCTACAGCTTGAGGCCAGCCTGGACTATGTGTCAATGCCCTGTCTCAAAAAGCAACACCAACAACGCAATTAGAGTGAAAGTCATGTGGTCAGTTCTTGAGGAAAAACCCAGAAACAAACTTCCCTATCAGAGGTGCCTGCTCTCTGGCCTACCAGACTGGCCTTGAGCTCCTGGGCTCTAGCGACCTTACTGCCTCAGCTTCCTGAGTAGGTGGGATGAGCCTGACTGGTGGGGAGGCCTGGAGCCTTCACCCTGTGCACAGCTGGCCTGATTGTCCTTGATGCAGGGACAGAGTGGCTCAGGGCTCAGGAGGACGGAGCCTGTGTGGTACTATGCATCTCGGTGGTGCGGGGAACCAAGGGGACAAGCTGGGCCAGGCTGGGTCAGCCCAGAAGGGCTGGGCCCGGTCACGCTCCAGAGAGGCGGCTGGCAGGAGCTGGGCAGAGTCAGATGCAGGTGCCAAGCCTTGAAGGTCGCAGCCACTGCCCAGACTGGGTTGGTGCTGGCTGGGGACAGCAGGCACAAGCCTAAGACAGGACACATGGCCCAGAGCCCAGGGCCACCTGCCAGCTGTGGGGCTGTGTACCCTCCTCTGCCATGCCCCTAGCGGGCAAGGAACCCTGGGGCCTGTCCCTCCGAGTCGCCAGGGTCCACTGAGACTGGGGGCCTGGGGGACGCCAGTGTCCAGGGCGGAGGCCAGCGAGGCTGCCACGGCTCAGGTGGGCACAGGGATCGGCGCCACTCAGGGCTGGCACCCCTCACCGACCTCTGGGCAGCTCTCTTACTGTCCCTCGGGCACCTGCCTGCCTGTCACCATCCCAGAGAGAAAGGAAGGACCTGGGAGTGGAGGTGGCCCACTCAGGTTCACACCTCAGGGTCCAGGGCGTGCCGCGGTTCCACGAGGGCGCCAGGGCCAGCTCCGGGAAGGTTTCCCTCTGGGTGCCTAGCCCTAAAGATGCAGAAAGCTACAACCCCTGGGGAATGCCACAGGGTCCCCAGGGCCCACCTGGCCAGATCATCCTCCTTGCCCAGCTCCCGCCTCCAGATGCCAAGGCTGCACTCTGTCTGGCCGTTGCAGCTGGTGCCGCCAGTGCAGAGTCCTTGCCCCAGGCATGTTCAGCGCCTTGCCTGCAGGACTCCAGGCCTCAGGTGGCAGCAGCCCTCAGGCCTGAAAGAGTAGATTCCCGGGTGGGCCATCCCAGGTGACCACAGCCCCAGGGACACTGGGATGGATCCCATGGAAGGCATGGCCCACCAAACCCATCAAAGTGCCATCCCTGGCTGGTGGGGAGGCAGGAAGCAGCTGGTGCCCTAGGCAGATCCCCACCCTCCCACCTCATCCTTATCCTTGTGGGAAAGGGGCGAGGACTCAGAAGTACTGCCACCTTGGGGGGCTCGGGGCTCAAGCCGTAGGGCACTGGGCCAGTGTCACCCTGCTCTATGCTCCAGTCAGTCCTACAAGACAGGCAACTTGCAGGACATGGGCGCCACCTGAGCCCCTGCCATCCAGAACCTGCAGGAAGGGGCTGTGACATGGGCTCCAGCCACCGCCTCTGGGCCCTTCACCAAGTCTGGAGGGCCATGTCCCGCTGCCCATCCCAGGTGCACAGCCACTGTCCCAAGGACCCCAGGTCCTGGCCAGAACCCCCATCTGCCTCCACCTCCACCATCAGGCTGGCTTCTTCTCCAGGGACAGGGACGCTGCCACCAGGAGCCAGGGCTGGTCCCACGGGGGCGTGGGAGGCACAGTGGGGCGGGAATGTGGCCCTCCTGTCCCTGGGGCTGGGCTGGGTGCCCACAGAGGACCCAGTGTGCCCAGACATTGGGGCTTTGTGCACCCCAGCACATGTGGGGACATTGTTTGCATTGACCTGGCGTTGTTTCGGGGTGACGAATGCCGGCACCTAAGAACCCAGGACTGGCTCTGGAGACAGCAGGGCCCCAGCAGCAGCGAGAAACAGGTGCCATGGGACGGGGAGGCCAGCACGGGTGACACTGGAGTTGGACAGAGGCCGCCAGGCCATCCCCGGGGGCTAAGCAGGGGTGTAGGGCAGGCACCCCAGGGCACCACAGTGCCCCTGAAGGGTGGGGCCCATTCATGCTGTCCAGATGTGGCCAGGAGATAGCGCTGCCTTTCGGGCCAGGAGGGCAGGGCGAGAGTTGGGGAGGGGAGCCAGGCCGGCGCTGGGCGGGCGGCGGTCAGAGCAGCTGTGAGTGTGGCTGGTGGCAGACCCAGCAGTGCCGGACCTGGCCAAGGGACCTCGAGGCTCCGAGCAGGTGGGCTGGGTGCACAGGTGCAGGTGCAGGGGCTGGAACGGGCGGGCGCAGGGCGCCTGTTGTCTTTGGGGGGGAATCGGGGGGGGGTGGTACCCACAGCCATGCTGGGGCCAGGTCCCCAGCTCCCACAGATTCTGTCCCACCCCTCCACATGTAGGGGTCCCCGGGCCACCCAACCTCTCCTCAGGAGGCTCAGTATCAGCCAGGACCACTTCCCATTTGGGACCTTGCTGGGGCCGGTGCTGTTCTTAGGGGTCTGGACAGACAGGCGCCCCGAAGACAAAAAAGGACACAGCTCAGGGTAATTTGTGGGGAGTGAAGGCAATCAGGGATGAGTGGCCATCTGCCCACAGTCAGCGTGGCAGGGCTAGTGACAGCACACAGTGCCACACTCGGTGGCAGGCGCAGTGCCAAGCGCTTTATATAAACACACTCAGTGTGCCCCACAGGCACGCAGTCGGAGTCGATGGCTTTCCCAGTCACAGGGGAGAAAGGGAGGCTCGTGCCCGAGCATGCAGTTAGTAAACAGAGGGTCTAGGCGAAGTGTAGAGGTGCACATCTATAATGCCAGCCCTCTGGGAGGCTGAGGCAGGAGGGTCACAAGTTCAAGTCCAGCCTGGAAACTTTATGACTTAGTGAGACTTTGTCTCAAAATAAAAGTAGCAAGGACTGGGATGTAGCCCAGGGCAAAGGCCCTGGGCTTAATCCCCAGTGCCCCCAAAACAAAGGCAGGGCTGGGGACTGAAGCCTGTGGTCTGACTGCAGCCTCATAGTTACCTAAACGGAAGCCTGCAAAATCCTCTTTCCCACTCCCCGAGTGGTTAGCGATGTGGCTCGGGTCTGTTCAATTAGGGTTAGGGTCTAGGGTTAGCATTTAGGGTTAGGGTTTACAGTTACAACCAGGGTTAGGGTTAGGATTAGGGTTTAAGGTTTAGGATTTAGGATTTATGGTTAGGATTAGGGCTTGGGTTTAGGATCTATGGTTGGGGCTGTGGATATGGTTAGAGTTTAGGCTTCAGGATGTGTGCTTAAGGGTTATGGTTACAGGGGCTGGGGAGATGGCTCAGTGGAATAAGCGCTTCCCTGGCAAGCGCAAGGGCCTGAGTTCAATCCCCGGTTCCGCCAAAAAAAAAAAAAAGGGTTATGGTTACAGTTTAGGGTTTGGGATTTATGGTTCAGGTCAGGATCAGCGCTAGACTTAGGTCAGGACTTCATCCACCCTGTGCTGCCTCACTGCCACCTCTCTTGCCCGGCTTTTCCTCAGTGAGCCAGGCCTGCTGTCTGTGGTGCTTGGTAGCATGGTCGAGGGTTCAGAGAGATAAGGGGCCCAGCTGCTGGAAGGGGGTGGGTGGTCACACTCGAGTCCTGTGCACCAGAGCGCCACCCCGTCCCTGTCACCAGCCCCTTCCCAGCTGTGCTCCATGCCTGGGCTCCAGACTGTACCCTTATCTGCCCGGCTGGTGGCTGCCAGGTGTTTGTACGCAGCTGGGACAGACTTATCAGCCCCAGCAGGGCCAGCTGCACTGGGTGACATCAGTCTGGGGCCGGGTGCACCCTGAGGCCCTGGTGGGTGTCGCTCTCTATCGTGACCTCACAGCCTGGGAAAGCTCCACTGTTCTCATACCCATGGGTGACGGGCACAGGGACCGGCTGGAGCAGCCCAGGCCTCCCCACCACGGCACGGAGCTAGCCTATGGCCCCGATTCCAACGATCCCACCTACCAGAGGAGCTCCAGTGCCACAGTGGGCCCCAGGGACGGGGTGTGGGCACCTGGGACACTGCTGAGGCCACTTGGGTTACAGTCATGTGGCCCCAGACCTGAGCCTTGAGTCGAAGGTGACCAAGGGGCAGAGGACAGAGCACAGTCAAGAGATATGTCCTGCACACCTCAGGGTGGGGCCTGCCCAGGCATGGGCTGGCACTGAGGGTGGCCCCTTCCAGGAGTTTGTCTGGGCATGCGTGAGCCACACATCAGGGAGGAAACCTGAAAGTGCCCCCTGGACAGCAAGAGTCTAGTGACGGAGGGCAACAGGCTGCAAGGGCTGAAGGACATCTCTAGGGGTGGACAGCGACGGTGCAAAGGCCCTGGGGCCAGAGAGTTGGGCAAGCCAGAGCAGTGTGGAGGCCAGCGGGGGAGGCAGAGGGCACGGGGGGGGGCAGCCTTGTGCAATTCAGGGGAACAGGGTCCGTGAGGCCTGCAGATGGGCGGGAAAAGGCAGGGTGCAGCTGGAAGCAGGAAAAGAGCCCTCGCCAGCCTCCACAAGCTCTGCCACCATGTGGGGCCCTGCCACAGAGGCCTGGGGGACCCCAGAGGCCTGGCTCAGCCTCCACCCATCTCCACAGGGACCCTCGGCGTGGGTTATGCTGGGGCCCAGCCCTCCACAGACAAATGGACTTGCAGGACAGTGCCATGGGGGACCTGCAGGTGGGTGTCGGGCACCACTGCCTTCCTGGGGCTCAGGGCATAGGTGACCAGGGCTGAGACCATGGCTCCCTACAGGAGAACTATGAAAAGGAGCTAGCGGGCCCCACACAGAGTGATGGGGCAGAGGTGCTGGACATCCCCGAGGGTGAGGAGGAGTTGGAGCAGGCCCTGGACCTGGAGGACTATGAGGACCTGGGCATCCCTGAGCCCCAGATGGAAGAGCCCCAAGGTGAGCTCGCCCTGCCCCAGGGGCCTGCAATCACCACACCGATTGAAGGGTAAACAGTGCTTTGTTTGGAATGAGTACAGGAGGGAGCAGCCACCCACCGCAGGGCCCCTTCCTGAGGGTCAAGGATGTGACCCACAGCCACCCTGGCCCTCCAGTGCCCACTGTCCAGCACATGGCCCACCAGGCTCATCACTCTGTCTTGGGGGTACAGTGCTGAAAGGAAGGCCAGGAGGGCCTGAGCAGAGAACCCAAGGTCCACAGCTCTCTCCTTGCTAGCCCCAGATCTCGGTGGGGAGCCCTGGCTGGCGGGTAGGTGGGCAGGGACCTGTTTACTGTCAACAACACTTGAGTGCTGGCACTTGGGGTTGAAGTAGGGCTATAAGAGGTGCACCCCACCCTCAGCCCTTGGCCTCCCGGGTGCTGCACAGAGGGCCTGCCTGGCACTGGTTGGGTCTCAAGGTGGGAAAAAGAAGAGGGAGTCAGTCCTGGTGGTGGTCAAGAGGAGACCCGGGCATGGGCCTGAGCTTTGCAGCCCAAGGACCCCCTTCCAATGACCTCAGGGGTGCTGGGGTACTCCCAAAGGCCCTGTGAGGGGTGGGAAAGCCAAAGACCCCAGGAAGGGTGGGCAGTGACCAGGCCTGCATTTTTGAGGCTCATGGTGGGGTCTGCAGGGCCTGGGGAAGGGATGGTGTGGGGTGGCACTGACCGGCCACCGGGCCTTCAGCTCTCCCTGACACAGAGCCTGCGACTACAGACTACGTACCCTCCAAGCCGGAGCCAGGCACCCAGGAGGTGAGGTCCCCAGCCAGACCTTCTGGGGCCTACACCACCCTGGGGGGCCCACAGACAGATGGGGAGGAGCAGCGTGCTAGTGATGGTGCAAAGGAGGGGACCCCCACTCTGGGGGCCAGGGCTGCTTCTGGGAGCCCCGGAGCCATGCTGTTGTCAGATCTGGGTCCCTGCGAGAGCCTAAAGGCCTGGGCCCTTGGAAACCTTGGCATCAACTGCAAAGGCTGCCTGGATGCCCAAAACCCACTCAGCAGTCAGGGGCCAGTAGCTCCAATGCGCTGGCTTCGCTCACACCCCAGACCCCTCCTGGACAGAGCAAGGGCTGGGAGGAAGTGGGCACAGTGGGCCCCGGGCCCACTCCTGTCCCTGCCCAGGATTCACTGAGCCACGGCCGCAGGTCTACGTGCAGCTGCAGGAGCTGGTGATGGACGGGAAGAAGGCAGAGCTGCAGTGGGCAGAAGTGGCACACTGGCTGCGGGTGGAGGAGAACGTGGGGCCTCAAGGCACCTGGGGCCGCCCGCATGTGCCCTACCTCACCTTCTGGAGCCTCCTGAAGCTGCAGAGTGCCTTCACCAAAGGTGAGCCTGTGGGTGCCAGGACCCTGTTGGGGATTATTGGGGACCCCGCTCACCCACCCGCTCCTCCCCCAGCTGCTGTCCTCCTGGACCTTCGGGAGCACTCCATGGCTGGCGTGGTCGACACGCTGCTCGACGGGCTGATCTTTGAGGAGCGGATCCGGCCTGAAGATCGAGGCCCTCTGCACCGGGCGCTGCTGCTCAAACGCAGGTGTCTGCCGACCCAGAGCCCCGGGCCTCCTGGCTCTAGCCGGTGCAAGCACATGGTCCCCACTGCCCCACCGCAGCTACCCCTCCTCCCCAGGGCTGCCTGGGTGCCATGTTCTGCACCAGAGCTGCTGGTGCCCGGGCGTGGCCTCTTCAGGCCCCTGCACCAGCCACCACGCACACTCACCATGTCCTGGCCAAAAGGCCCATTCTCCCAGCTGCCGGGTCCCTCTAGCCTGGTGGCTGGAAGTCCCACTCTACATCTACCCTGATGTCCCCACAAGTCTGCACTGAACAAACTGCTAAGCTCTGTGTGTCCCACAGCCGTGCCCAGGACCGGGAGGCCCTGGAGGGAGTGACACCGGCCATCCTGACGCGCTCTGGGGATCCCCGCCAGGCTCTGCTATCCCCGAAGCCCTCACTGGAGACGCAGCTCTTCTGTGAGCAGGTGCGGCCCTGCTGGGGAGCAGGAGAGCCCGGCCGGGCCCAGGGCAGAAGAGCGGGGAGGAGAGCAGGGAGAAGGGCTGGGCTCAGGCCTTGGCTTTCCGTAGGCCAAGGGGGACCCTGGGGTGCAGCCGCCTTCTGCAGTTCTGGAGAAGATCCCAGAGGCCGCGGAGTCCGCCCTGGTACACGTGGGTAAGAGCCAGGCCCGGTCCCTGCCTGCAGGGTCCCTCTCCTGGCCGGCCCAGCTGAGCCCTCAGCCTCCATCCCACAGGCCTCGCCGACTTCCTGCAGCAGCCAGTGCTGGCCTTCGTGCGGCTGCTTGAGGCAGTGAAGCTGGAGGACATGGACCTGCCCCGGCCTGTGCGCTTCATTGTGGTGCTGCTAGGGCCCGAGGCACCGCACACTGACTACACACAGCTCGGCCGCGCTGTGGCCACCCTCATGTCCGAGAGGGTGAGGAGCCGCCACTCACCTCAGGGCCCTGCATGCAACCCCTGGGCCCACCAGACCCCGTCCTGGGGCGGCTAGCTCCCCTATGCTCTGCTCCTGCCCATCCCTGTGGAAGCCCTGGGAAAAGTCCAGTGTGAGGGTCTGGTCCGGGAGGTCCCCTTGCACACCCGATCCTGACACTGTGCTGCACCCAGGTCTTCCGAATGGACGCCTACCTGGCACAGAGCCGCGGCGAGCTGGTGCGCTCCCTGGACAGCTTCCTGGACTGCAGCCTGGTGCTGCCGCCCACGGATGCCCCATCGGAGCAGGCCTTGCTCGGCCTGGTGCCTGTCCAGCAGGAGCTGCTCCGCAGGCGCTACCTGCCCAGCCCTGCACCACCAGACCCCGGCTTCTACAAGAGCCTGGGTATGGCCCACCTGCCCTGGCCCAGGTACCCGCTCCATACCCCTCCTGCTGGCCTCTGACCTAGCCACTGTTCCCCACAGAACTCAATGGTGGCCCTGGGGTCCCCGGTGGCCCCGATGACCCTCTGCAGCGGACAGGCTGGCTCTTCGGGGGCCTGGTGCGTGACATTCGGCGCCGCTACCCCCATTACCTGAGTGACATCACAGACGCTCTGAGCCCCCAGGTCCTGGCTGCTGTCATCTTCATTTACTTCGCCGCTCTGTCACCCACCATCACGTTCGGAGGCCTCCTGGGTCAGTACCCATCACCTGCCATCTCCTGACTGACTCCCTGCGGCCCTCAGCCCCAGCCCCCCCTTCTGTTGACCCCTGGAAGTCACCCCTGGACCTTAATCTCCACCGCGACTGCGCAGGAGAGAAGACTGGGAACCTGATGGGGGTGTCGGAGCTGCTCATCTCCACCGCCGTGCAAGGCATCCTCTTCGCTCTGCTAGCAGCGCAGCCCCTGCTGGTGGTCGGCTTCTCAGGGCCCCTGCTAGTGTTCGAGGACGCCTTTTTCGAGGTATGCTGCCCCGCCCTGCCCTATGGCACAGGCCGCCCTGTGCCGGAAACTGTGTGGTGACCCTAGCCCCCCACACTCCCAGTTCTGTGAGAGCAACGGCCTGGAGTACATTGTGGGCCGCGCCTGGATCGGCTTCTGGCTCATCCTGCTTGTGGTCCTGGTGGTGGCCTTCGAGGGCAGCTTCCTGGTGCGCTTCATCTCCCGCTACACCCAAGAGATCTTTTCCTTCCTCATCTCCCTCATCTTCATCTACGAGACCTTCTCCAAGCTGATCAAGGTGAGTATGGCATGGGCCGTGGGCGCAGCCATTCTTGGCCCACGTGTCTGTGAGGACCAGGTGCCCTCGCAGGGGCTGCAGATGGTGGTACGGGAGAAGACCCCTCTGTGTTTGTAGTGCGGCCATGGATCCAAGGGGCAGCTCAGCAAGTGCCACATGGCGAGGGTGTGGCTCTGCGGGCCAAGACAGCGCCCTCAGCCTTTACACCCAGGTACTCAGCCCATGGCCCGCCTGCCTCTGACCAGTGCCACACCCTCACGCCGTCCCCACTTTCAAGCGAGGAAAGTGCAGGACCTTGCTGCACCAGGTTTTTGAAGACATTCCTGCATTTACTCATTTATTTTGCAGTGCTGGGACTGGAACCAGGGCCCAGTGCACACGAGGCAGCCCAGTCCCATGCGCCCTGTGGGGAGCCTCAGGCCTTGCTTCTGCTCTGTAGCCTTCATGGGCCCCACACCCCGCACACCCAGGGTTGTATCCGCGTCCACTCAGCCATGAGGCCCACCTCAGGCTTCACCCCTGAAAGCCAAGCTCTAAGAGCCCCTCTAGAGCCAGCTGTGGCAAAAGGCAGATAGAGGAAAAGCACTATGCCTGGGTGGACGGGTAGATGGATGGCGGATGGCAGATGGTGGGTGGCGGATGGATCGGGGTGGAGTCAGCAGCTGCCCCAGCCCTGCCCAGGCTGGGAGGGAGCCTACCCTAGTTTTCTGGTGCAGATCTTCCAGGACCATCCACTGCAGCAGAGCTATGACCCCTCCACGCCCATAGTGCCCAAGCCTCAGGGGCCCCTGCCCAACACAGCCCTCTTCTCTCTGGTGCTCATGGCTGGCACCTTCATCCTCGCCATGATGCTACGCAAGTTCAAAAACAGCTCCTACTTTCCCGGCAAGGTCAGCACCCCTGCCCCATCCCTGCATGTGGCCCTGTCCCTGTACAGCTGTACCCCCAGGTTCCCAGCCCCTCACCCTTCCCCCTCCTGGACTTCCAGACCTGTCCAGTGTACCTCCCCTCAACACCGCCAGGCTGGGGCAGAGTGGGGGGCAGGGACAACTTGCAGGAGGCAAGAAGCATTGGGGTGAAGACCAGACACCCATGCTGGGGCCCCTGAGTCAGTCAGCACATGGGGTTAGCAGGGCAAGGGGCCACTGATCTCCTGTCCTTCATCTCCCCAGCTGCGCCGAGTCATCGGAGACTTTGGGGTCCCCATCTCCATCCTGATCATGGTCCTGGTGGACTCCTTTATCAAGGACACCTACACTCAGGTGACCCTCCCCTCCCCCATGCCTCCCGCACTGTCCCCACCACACTGCAGCTGCCTGGCAGGGGAGCCCCATGCTCATCACGCTGGCCCCTGCATCCCTCTGGCTGGGGCAAGGAGCCTGCTTTGAGCCAGGCAGATGGTGGATGGGTCTTAGCTCTGCCACCCAAGTGCTGTGTGACTTGAACAAAGTCCACAACTTCTCTGGGCCTCTTGTCCACTGTGAGGCTGGGAATGAGATGGATACAAAAGGCTCAGCGCAGTGATGGGGTACAGAGAAAGCTCACAGTTTAGGGGTCCCCAGCTCCAGCGTCTGCCTCTTTCCTCTTCCCACCGTCCCCCGCAGAAACTCTCGGTGCCTGATGGTCTCAAGGTGTCCAATGCCTCGGCTCGGGGCTGGGTCATCCACCCGCTGGGCCTGTACAGCCATTTCCCCCCCTGGATGATGCTTGCCTCCGCCCTGCCTGCACTGCTGGTCTTCATCCTCATCTTCCTGGAGTCCCAGATCACCACGTGAGCCAGGGCAGCGAGCTAGGGCGCGCCAGCAGTGGGACGGGCGGAGGCGTGTCTCGTGGGGCAGCTTGGCTTTTGCTTTTTCCTTTTCTATTTGTTTTTGTCTTTTTGAGGCAGGGTCTCACTATGTAGTTCAGGCTGGCCTTGCCTCAGCCTCCCAACGTCTGGAATGATGGGCATGCATCACCATGCCTGGGTCAGAGGGCTTTTTCTAAAACAAAACATGCAAAATGACACTCTAGAACAAGGCTACTCGGCAAAGGGCTGGTCTGGGCTGCTGGTCACAGGTGGCCAAAGAACCTCGGACTCAAGGCCCCACGGAAGCGCAGGGTGGGCACAGGCTCACCAGGTCTCTACCCACAGGCTGATTGTCAGCAAACCCGAGCGCAAGCTGACCAAGGGCTCCGGCTTCCACCTGGACCTGCTGCTGGTGGTGGGCATGGGCGGGGTAGCTGCTCTCTTCGGAATGCCCTGGCTCAGTGCCACCACCGTGCGCTCTGTCACCCACGCCAATGCCCTCACCGTCATGGGCAAGGCCAGCGCCCCTGGGGCCCCTGCACAGATCCAGGAGGTCAAGGAGCAGCGGATCAGCGGGCTCCTGGTGTCGGTGCTGGTGGGTGAGTGCTGGCTGGTGCCACTGGGGCACCAGGCGCGGGGATGAACGGATGGCACCGAGTTCCCCCGGCCAACTTGAGGGTGAAGCAAGGTGCTTGGGGAGGTGGAAGCTGAGGCCCTAAGTTCTGGAGCTGAAGTGGGGAGTTGGTCATGATGCTGGGGACCAAGCCCTGGACCCTGCGTGCTGGCAAGTGCTCGACCACTGAGCTGCACACTAGTCCTTCTTGTTTTGAGGTGAGGGTCTCACTACACTGGCCAGCCACCTTCAGCCTCCAGTCACTGGGCTCACAATGTGTTTCCATGCTAGATGGGGCAGTTTGTTAAAGGAGTGGAAGCTGGTCTGACCTGGCAGAGGGCCAGGAAGCAGTTGAAGGAGGGAGGAAGGTCCCTTTCTGTGACCTTGGTGGCCCCACACGGTGGGGGTTGGGCTTAAGGGGGACAGGCAGCTGTTGGACTCCTTGCCAGGCCTGTGGCCTTAGGCAGACTGTAAGCTTCCCTAACCCATTTCCTCATTCATAAATCAGGACAATACCTATTAAAAGGCTCCTCCAATCCAGGTTGGCTGGCATGTGCCCCTGACCCTAGCAACCTGGGAGGCTGATGCAGGAGAATTGCAAGGGGTTTTTGGGGGGGAGGGGGAATTCGTTTTGTTATTTTGAGATAAGGTGTCACTATGTAACCCAGGCTGGCCTCGAACTCGCCAAGGCCCACTGGGTCCCGAGATTTCCCCCAGTCCACGCCAGGCCCGTGGGTGCTGCCACGTCTGCACGGGCCCTACCCAGGCTGGCACGTACATCCCGCAGGCCTGTCCATCCTCATGGAGCCGGTACTGTCCCGCATTCCGCTGGCCGTGCTGTTTGGCATCTTCCTCTACATGGGTGTCACATCGCTCAGCGGCATCCAGCTCTTTGACCGCCTCCTGCTGTTGCTGAAGCCCGCCAAGTACCACCCAGACGTGCCCTTCGTGAAGCGGGTAGGCGTGCCTGGGCGTGGTGGGCGGGACCAGGCCGGACAGGGTGGGGTCAGGGGCGGCGTTTACGGGGTGCGGCATGTGGGGCGGGGCGTCTGGGGGCGTGGTGGGCGGGACCAGGCCGGACAGGGTGGGGTCAGGGGCGGCGTTTACGGGGTGCGGCATGTGGGGCGGGGCGTCTGGGGGCGTGGTGGGCGGGCGGCGGCGGGCGGGCTTCCAGGGCGGGGACGGGAGGGACAGCGTGGGACCTGGGGCGGGGCCGCAGGGCGCGGCGGGCAGGTGTGCGGGCTTTGGGGCCCGGCACGTGCGGGCGGGCGTGGAGGGCGGCCGCGCTGACTGCAGGCTCCGCAGGTGCGGACCTGGCGCATGCACCTGTTCACGACCATCCAGGTGGCGTGCCTGGCGCTGCTGTGGGCCGTGAAGTCCACGCAGGCCTCGCTGGCGCTGCCCTTCGTGCTCATCCTCACGGTGCCCCTGCGGCGCTTCCTGCTGCCGCTCTTCTTCAGTCGCCTGGAGCTCCAGTGTGTGAGTGGGAGCCCCCGGAGGAAAGCGGGGTGTATGGCAGCGGGCTGGGCGGGGCACGCAGGGTGCGGCGAGAGCAGGGGCCGCGGGGGAGCCGCCCCAGCCGTGGCGGCCCTGTCCCCGCCGCGGTCTGTAGGCCGGGCCCCTGCTCTGGTGTCACCTGTTTGCTAGGAATGATGACAGATGTGGCAGCGGAGAGGGACACAGTGTGTTACACCGGCCACCCTGGCCCCAGAAGGGGACATTGGTCATTGTGAGGCTGGCCATCTGTGCCCAGCTCTGGAGACGGGGTTGGCAGGGCGTGACCGCAGCTTCCTCTCCTCCCACCCTGCAGCTGGACGCCGACGACGCCAAGGCCTCTGTGGACGAGAGTGATGGCCGGGACGAGTACGATGAGGTGCCCATGCCAGTGTAGGAGACGCCCCGGGCCCACTCGAGAGAGCAGAGTGGGCAGTCGGGGGTCTCTGAGGCCCCACTTGGGCACACTGGCATTTCTGGCTGGAGGTGGCTGGGGTCCCGCAGGAGGAGCCTGGGGGTCTGCGTGCCCCCTCTTCAGGCAGTCAGTGGAAACAGCCCTGCTGGCTGTGCGACCCAGGACCACTCCTGCCTGTGCCCGCGATGCTGGAGGACACCCACATTATTGATGGCTGCCAGGGCCGCGGATAAGCAGGCCCCTGCACATCCACACATCCATGGGGACAGCACAGCGGGAGGGGCAGCTTGGGGGTGGCAAGTTCCCTTTCGCCTATCCCCACTCTGCGACCAGAGTGTGGTGGAGAGGGCAGGGATGGGCGCTCGGGCTTGGGATAACCATCCCCACCTGCCAGGGCCTGAGCTGGGGAGACTGGGGCTGTGGCAGATGCTGCCCTGGTGGGGTGGGCATGGGTGTGGGTGGGGAGGAGGGGGAGTGTAATTTATTGTGTCTTTTCTGAGTGCTTTTGCTATACTTGGCTTTAGTGTGACCCTGCTGGGGCCCCATGAACCCAACCTGGTCCAAACCAAATCCTGGGGGCCCTCATGTTTGGTCAGGTGGGGCAGCAGGCAGGCTTGACAGGGGCTCAATTGCTTCATGAAACTATGAAAGCACTGGATGAACCAGAAGTGCTGAGAAATGGGATGAGAGGAGGCTCTGAGCGACAAGGACAGCTGCCGCCCATGGAGAAAGCAAGCAGCCAGCTCTACGCTTCCCATTCTGGGCCTCAGTTTCCAGATCTGGGATTCAGATGTTGCAGGATTGGGGGAGTCGCTTGCTTAGCTGTTCCGGGCCACGTAGGGAGCGTGGCAATGGTCACCCTATGGGGTCCCCGTGATCCTGGCTCCTCCAGCACAGTCACGGAAGTGAGGACATCGGCCCTGCCAGCCCTGCTTGACCCGTGCATTTGGGAATAGGTTTTGCCAATAAAAGCATCCATGTTGGAGTCCCGCCTGGCGTGAATCCCTCCCCAAGTCAGGCCAGGCGCAGTGCCCCAAGAGGGCCCACGTGCCCACAGGGGACCCAGCCCTCGTGCTCACTGAGCTGTCGTGTCTGTGAACTGCCGGCCCCTTGCCCAGCAGCCAAACGGTTTCGTTGTCTTTGGGAGAAACGGGATTGAACCCTGGACCTCCCCACCGAGCTGCATCCCTGCTCCTCTAAAGGACCTTGCTAAACTGCTCGGGCCAGGCTTTGTGGAGCTCCTCCTGCCTCAGCCTCCCAGAGTTCTGGGATTACTGAGACCACCTGGATGGATAAATCTTTGAGCAAAATTACCAAAGAAAACTGAGACCCAGAGAGGGGACACCAGTTGTCAAAGGGCACAGAAGAATGCCACTTTTCTTGCCCTTTTTTCTTTCCTTTTCTTTTTTTTAAAATGTATTTAGTTCAGGGTCTACAGGGTCTCACGACACAGATCCAGACTGTAGTGATTCTCCTGTTTTCAGCCTCCCACCCGCTGGGATGTGCCACCAGGCCCAGTCTCAGTCACCTTCTCAGCGTGTCCTGGGGCGGGGCCAGCACAGCACGCCAGGGATCCACCCGGTCCCTGTGGCTGCCTAAGCAGGTCCTTTAATCCACAGGCCAGCACTCTTTCTTTTCTTTTCTTTTTTCTTTTCCTTCCTTCCTTCCTCCCAAGTTTTCTCGCCCTTTCTCTTCCTCCCTCCCTTCCTTCCTCTCTCCTTCCTTTCCTTCCAGGGCTGGGGGTTGACTCCTGGAACTGGCACGCGCTCAGCCTCCCCCACCCGTCCGCCACTGTCCTGGCCCGCATCTGGCTTCCTCGGGGTCTATATTTACCTCTGCTGTCCCCAGCTGCCCCTGGCTGGCCAGTTGGATGGTGGTTATAACTGGACCCCAGGGATGGATGGGGCTCACCACTGTGATCCCCCACAGGTTGGCCTTGTCCCAGGGAGGCCAGCTGGGGTCTCCCAGTGGGCCAAGGCGGCCCAACCTTACCAGTCCCCAGTGGGACTGGGTCATCATGGAGGGGCTGAGGTTTGGGGGACAACCCCCAAAAATCTCCCATTGTGAGGCACCTGAAAGCAGGGCTTGGCCCTAGCCTCAGGATTGCTCAGACAGTGGCAGCAGGACCCATGATCTGGGGCAGCAGCAGGTGGGTAGGAGCCCCACCCCGCCCATCCTGATCACTGGGTCCCTGACCAGAGTTCTCGGGAAAGGGAGAGGGAGGCTCGGAATACGGGGTGTGGAAGAGCCCTGCACTGCTGCTGGGCCTGGCCCGCTGCCTCACCCCTTCACCCTTGACCCTTTCACAGAAGTGACCTCTGCAGTTTAAGTGAAGTCATGAGGGCACACCAGTGTCAGGCACAAAACACCCCACCCGCACTGGAGGGGCGTGAAGGCCCTGGGCAAAAATCCTTCTGGCGTGGTACCGCGGCTCACACCTGTTATCCCAGCACACAGGAGGCTGAGACAGGACTTCAAGACCAGTCTGGGCAATGCAGCAACCTAGTGGGACCCTGTCTCCAAAAGGAAAGGGCTGTGGGTGCAGCGTGGAGCTGGCTTCATCCCCAACTCTGTGTACCTCCCAGTCCACCAGCCCAGAGCTGGCTAGGAAAGCCCAGAACTGTGCAGAGCCTGAGACTGAGAGCCAGCACAGAGTGAGTCACCCACGGGCTCCGAAAGAGAGGCCGCCCCTAAAGGAGAAAGAAAACAGCAGCACATGAAGGCGGAAGAGATGGAAGAGGGCGGGAGGGCAAGGGAGCAGGCTAGGGCCAGTGCTTCCGGGGGTGCGAGGCCTTCCACAGAAGCCATCAGGTCACCTGGGGCGGTCACACCAGATCACAGATGCTGGGCCCACTGAAGCTCTGTGACCCCAGAGTGGGTACATTACTGGATGAAGCCACAGCAATGCCACTGAAGCAGGGGCCAGGCAGGAGCCACAGCGCGGTCCCCTCTTCACCCCTCACCCCGGCCTCACACCCCCGTAAGCACTGGCCCTAGCCTGCTCCCTTGCCCTCCTGCCCTCTTCCATCTCTTCCGCCTTCATGTGCTGCTGTTTTCTTTCTCCTTTAGGGGCGGCCTCTCTAAACTGTTGATACCTGTTTGTCTGAACTTGTTCTTGAAAATATGTACCATAGGGCTGGTGAGATGGCTCAGTGGTCTAGAGCACCTACTTAGAACAAGCTTAGCAAAGCACAGGGACCGCGGTTCAATCCCCCAGCACCACATGCCAGCCAGCCCCGCCCCCTGGTGCCCCCCCATAAATAAATAAAATTAAAAAAAAAATATGTACCATGGGGAGTGGGGCATGGTAGTGCACACCAGTCTTGTCATCATTCTGGAAGGCTGAGGCAGGAGGATCTCAAGTTCCAGCCCAACCCGGTCCCCATACTGTGTGTGTGTAGGGGCGGGGGATTGAATTTGGGACCCTGCAATTGCCAGACAGGTGCTATCTCCCCCAGCCCTGCTTTATTTTTTTCCTACATACTGACTTAAAGAGACCGCCTCTCAAAATTTCAAAATATAATAACAATAATAATAAAAGGGGTTTGGGAGGAAGCTCAGTGCAAAGGCCCTGGACTCAACCCATGGGATCCCCCCCGCAAAAAAAATCTCTGCCATATTGCTATCCT